AGACCAGCTGGTTGCAACAGAGACCAGCTGGTCTGCAGAGCCACAATTATTTACTATCTGTCCCTTTACAGACAAAATTGGCCAGTGCCAGAAAGTCTAGATCAAGGAGGGAATGGGATGCACTGGAAAATTGCAAACGATTCTGCATTTCAAGAAACTAAGACATAGGTTTGAAGGTTAAGCTGGAGAGGTGAATGCTAGCTAGATGACGGAGGACCTGGTATTCCTGCATTTCTCAGGATGGACTCTGAAGAATACCAGTCCAATGAGATGCTATACAAAGGGCCCTGTAAAAGTTTCGGAAGTGCTAATCACCTCCTCAAGGTTCACAGGCACATTAAAGGCTCTGAAAAGTCCTGCAGTAAAGAAATGGATTATATTTTGCATAACCCCAAAGGTATTTAATCAAAGAATCATTTTTTCTTCTAATACGTAGATTAAAATCCTACAGAACTGAGGCTTTTTGGGGGTTTTCTGTTTTCTATTTTTTGGGGGGTTTTTTTGGTGGCTGGCTGGTACAGCAATTGAACCCTTGACCTTGGTGTTATCAGCACAACACTTTAACCAACTGAGCTAACCAGCCAGCCCCTAAAATGTGCTTTGAGGTGCTTGGCCTGAGGGAGCCTTTAGAGGCTTTCCAGCAAAGGTGTAACATACTCAAATGTGTTTTATAAATTGATTCTCTGTTGACATGTCTCTCAATGGCACTTGTCCTACCTAGTGATATGGAAGTTGTGACCTCGTCTAAACCAAGCCTGACTATCCTCATTGAGGGCAGGCATTGTGTTACTCATGTTTATGTCTTTTCAAGCTCTTTGGTGCCTTCAAACCTTTAGCAAATTCTCAATATGTTTGTGGAATAGAAGTAAATCGATTGGCAGGCTAGCCACAGACACTTGAGTTACTAACTCATTAGTCTGTTTCCTTAATTAGCTCCTTGGCAGAAACTAGTGTCTCCACGCTGGAGGAGCAAACAGGATGCAGAGCAGAAATGTGAAGGCGGGGAAATATTTTAAGCTGTCAGAAAGTGTAGAAGTCTGCAGATAAGAGCCTCCACCTACACACCCACAGCCTGCCTGTGGGGTGCCATCACTGGCAATGACTCACTTGCCAAGCCAGTGTCAGGCCAAATTAATGTGCCACTAGTCCCCAGAGTCAGCAGAAAGGCCCCCACACCCTCATCCCCCTTCCAGCCACGGAGAAGTCAGCCCATGTCCCACACGGGTTACTGGCGAGTTAAGGAGCCTTCAAACCCAAAGCCACCAGGTTTCTTGCTTCCATCTCTTTCTGCTTTGGAGGGAAGCCAGTTAGGTTTATCTTTGGGAAGACAGAGCCATGATGCAATAAATTTGTACATATGTGGTTTTCTTTAGATTCGGTACTCTCCTGGGGACCTTACCTGTACAGCATGGTAAGTAGGGGGGTCCTTACCTGTGCACCCTCCATGGTCAGCTGTCCCGCTGACCACTTTTGGCTCTGTCTGCAGGAAGGAGTTTGCCTATGTGGTTGACATTGCTCCTCAGGAGCTATTAGTCCATATCAAATTGGAGACCCTCAGCAACAGCTGGCCTCCAAGACAAATTTAAAGAAAATCAGCATACTTACTCCATTTTTCCATGTATATGAAGCACAATTTTTTAATTCCCTTTCTTTTTATTATAAAAATTTTCAAATATGCAGAAAAGCTGAGAGAACATGGTGAACACCCACATCCTCACCATCCGGATTCAGTTAACATTTTGCTGTATTTATTCCATCAAATAAATATGTGACTTGTAACAATACACTTTCATACGTGAGCTCCCTGTCTCCTTCCTCCCACTTTTTCTCCCGCCCATCCCTAACTGCAGCCATACCAGGTGGACGTTACCTGTCAAGTGGGTCTTTTTGTTCTTGTTTGCATTCCAGTCTCTTCTCGATGACAGTGGTCTGGCAGAGGTGTTTGAGGTTGCAGAGCAAGTCCTGGATGCTGTAAATAAGGGGCTCTACAAAGAGGCCACGCAGCTCTGGGGGAAAGCAGAAACAGTCATTGAAAAGGTAAATCAGGGGCCAGCCCACTTGGCTTTTTCTGATGGGAACAGGGCCCATTGTTGGAGTTGTCAGGATTGGGGTCTAACCTCAGTCTCCCCACAAATCTGGAAATGATTGCATGTTAAATGATAACTCTGATGGGTCTAAGCAGTGACGTGGTGGCCCAGGGTCAGAAAGCCACCCAGGCCTGTAAGGCTTGGTTGTCGTTGACTGAATGTATGGATTCTAAGAGAAAGAGTGTGTCTTGCAGAGATGAGTATGTAGTTCGGAGACAACATATTCCCTTATTTGAATCCTTGCGAAGCAACATTCTAACTCTAATGAGCCAGAAGGGAAGAACGCACTGGCTGAGGATCAGGTGTGTGGTCCTTCAGTAGCTCTGTTCTCCCTGTCAGTTAACACATGGGCTTTTGGTTTCTCCTACAGTGTCTGAGCTCTGCTCACAGGAGCTGCTCACCGCTTCTAGCAGGTTTCTGAGCCTTCAGAGCTGCATTTCTTTATGGTCCGAGCAAATTTACAAAGTTAAAGCTCTCCTTAGATAAGATGGAAAGCCATGCACCTTTCTGTTTTGCAACTTTGGTGATGGAAAAATAAAGAAAACAAACAGCCAAGTACACTTTTATATTTCAGAACACAGACGGGGTGAACTTCTATAACATCTTAACTAAAAGCACTCCCTTGCCTGCAATGGAGTCGAGCCTGGAATTCACACAGAACCACCTTGGTGAGTGAATCTTTTTTTTTTTTTTTTTTTTTTTTTTTTTTTTTT